CCCGCCGACGATGCAAACGAACGGGGCCACAGCCGTGGTTAGGAGGGCACTGCCCCGGCAGCTGGGGGGGGGGGGCTGCAGCCCCAGCCCCCCGCGCTGCTCCGCCAGCGGCGGTCCGGGACCAAAACCCTCGCCCAGACACAACGGGGTTGGGCGCTTTGAACCCCTGGAAGACCGAGGCCGCGTGAGCCAAACACTGTCTCCCCAAATCAGCGCCGCTGCCTCCCCGCGAAGGGCTCGGTCGTCCTTCGAAGGGCTCAGGCGTTTAAATCGCGCAGAGAGCACCCGAGACCTCCTGCCATCGCGTTCCCAAAGTCCCGCTAACTGTCTGATACTCCTTCTACTGTCTTCCTCACTGCTGCCAGTTGCCAAGATATTTCACATAAATAGAAGCTTTCTGATTTATAATCAGCCTCTTCCTTCTGATTCATTATGTTAATGAATTGAGATATTACCAACATTGGATTATCGCACCACTGAATGAATCCAGCAAAAGAAAGCTGATTATAGAGGAAAAAGCCAAGTGTACCCGGAAACTTAATAAAAAGAAACGACCGAGAAACAGTGCAAAGCGGCTGCAGTTGTTTAAGCTCACTCTAAACACCGTTCACAGATGACGGGGGGACGCGACGGTTTCGTTCACGTACACGAACCTTTCCCCCACGGATTTACGGATATGCTTTCCACCGTTACGGTTATTATTACGAACGTTTCCAAGGAATCAAACCCGCTGCCCAGAGCTTCCCTGGCAATCTCGGCGCCGTTAAGTGAGAGAGGACACGCACACGGTGCCTCTCGTTCCCTTTCTCAGCGCCCCGTTCCTGGCGATGCGCAGCCCCGGAACGACGGACCGCCGCCCGGCTGCCCTCCCATCAGACCTTCCCCGCGTCCAGGGCTCTCTCATTTCCCACTAGGAAACGACAGAGAAATGCTCTTCCCCCCCCCCCCGCTTTCTCCCTTTCACCCAGCCGCTTGGCTTGGGCTTTCCTCACTCGGCTCGGCGCAGCCCAAGCCCCCGGGCAGGCTCCGCAAAGCCCGGGAGCGGAGGGGAGCGCAGCCGCGGCCAGCTGTGGGGGCAGCGCGCAGGTTAGATCGCGCTTAACAAAGCTGCAAGGCATGGGGTTCGCTTAAGCAAATTATCCTCCGGAAGCTTTTATTGAGCAACAGTTAGAGCACCGTGAATGAAGCTATTGGGAACACATACAAACTAACTGGGTGAAGAAATGCAAGTCTGGAAACCAAAATTACGTTTCCCGACACCGCTGTGAGGCAGGTACTAATTTGCTGCGGCTTCAAGCTATGTAATTAGTCAAGGAGACTGTAATTTACCTACAGGACGGCAAAATTTTCCTTTTATTAATTTGCAATATATTTGTAAAATAATCTTACGGCAGCTGGCTCTGCTTGAATCTGTTTCAAAAGTGTGATGTAAATACCGTCTCACACTATTTTGTTGCCTATTAGGGCTTTCTGGTAGGTGATACGACTGAGAGTAAGGAGAAAGAACACCACACATTTATTTTTAAGATCATCATCACTAGTGATAAAACTTATGGGAAGAAGTGAGCATACTTCCTATCCGTATGCGTTAAAAACAAACGTATGCAAAGTAACTCAAATGAAAAAGATACAACTGGAAGGCTACGAACACGGTGTATTTTCAAGAGCTGTTTCAGCTGTGTTTAAAAGGAGTAGCAAGTTCCCAAATTAAATCACCCTATTTATGGCAAAGACAAAGAGCTTCACACAGCAGGAAGATGCACTAAAGAGCTGTTTTTTCCCCCCACCTGTCTCCTTTGCAAGAGTTCAAGTATTTCCATCCCTATCTTGCTAGTAACCATGTATCTGAAGTAATTTAGCACACAGTTATTGTGAAACAATAGAAAGAGTGCAAATAATCGATCTGGGATTCATTACATTTGGATTTTTCAGCAGTAAACTTCCGAGATTCTTATCTTCACTCAGCAGATTAATATTTCAGAACAACATCAGAGGAAAACTGAGGTAAAAAACCACCACACCTAAGCAAAGTATTTATCACTGGCGTACTCGCTGTCCACACACTTGGCTACAGCAAGCACCAATTTACATCCAACTCATACATGCAATATAACACTGAAATCCAAGAGGCCGTGACTACAGGATCAAACCTTTATTTCAAATGTAACATATTCTATTCGTGGATTATAATCCTTGAGCAAACAGAATATTACAGTAATGAAGACCTTAGCATTACAAATATGTTAAAACAGCTTGCATTTTGGGTGATATTTAAGGTCAAGTTGTATCTGAACACAATTATTAAAATATTATGAAAATTACCATTATGGCATAAATAATGTTTTCTTTCAGATGTAACCTCTAAAAGTACATTCCATTTCAAATTTTGTTTTCTTATTTTTCAGTACCAACAAGCTCAAACTGAGCATCTACATCACTGACCTGCTCTATGTGAATGAAAAAGACAGAAATGAAGAACTATATGCTCAGCCTAAAATCTAGCTCCCAACTTCTATTGAAAACATGACCCTGAACAAATACAGTCAAGAGGATACCATAGTAAGTGTCAAATAACATGTCTAAACCATCTTATTATTTTGTATTTACCCTCAAATGAAATTAATAGGCTCCAGAAAGATTCTGCGGAGTAAGAAATTTCTTATCCTAGGGAAAACTAACATGCCTTCTGCTACTGCCCCCACAGCCAGAATAACTGAGAAAGTAAAAAGCTCGGGAATGTGATGGTAGAGGTGACAAGATGGATGAACAGGCTGTGCTCCTGGGTTAGTACTGTGGTTACTCATCTGTGCATAAACCTAAAAAAGGATGATTAATTATTTCTTCTTGCAAGATACTCAAAGATTAATTTACAAACAGGCAAAACCTTTGGTTTTCCTTACCGCTCTTCTCTCAGTTGCCTTCCCCCACCCACCAGAAAAGGACAAGAGGCAACAGGCTCTTAGGACCATTGCAGTTTATGTATACATAAATTTTAACACAAAAGGGTGAGGAGCGAGTCAAGAATGCAGACTAATGGGCTGTCTTCTGAAGGGGGGGGGGAATTACATAAGATATACATAATGTAATATATATAAAATATATATTTTATATTTATATATAGATATGAAAGCTTGGGATAAGGTGGGGTATAACTACATAGAATCAATATATGTGAAGTAACAGCCTTGACTTGGTGAAGAATACCCATTCAAGATCTCGTTTAAAGCTGATATTAAACCGTATCTGTACCAATCAGTTTTGGGGATTTTTAAAATTTTCTTTTAAACACACTTCAGTTTAACTAACATTTGCTTTCTCAAATTTGTATCTATAGATAGGCAAGTGGCAAGCTAGGAGATGCCATATAATATGTTCCCTGCCACTGCTTGTCCCAAGGTCTGTGCCAAATCAGGAAACACGCGCTCCTGTACCTTAAAAGCCCTGCTGCGTGCCTTCCTGCCCCTACTGCTGTGCTGTTTCAGTCTCATATGCAAGTGCATTTATTCATATCAGACCACAAGCCAACATGAAGGCCCTTGTCTCTGAGAGCAGTCACCTATACACATTCCTGCTTTAAATGTTTCTCTTCGTTTTTTCCTTTTCTGGACACGTTCCTATATAGTTTTCCATGCCCTAGTTGTCCTATTGCTTCTAAAGCTATGCTGCAGGAAAAAAAAAAAAAAGTAATTTCCTTCTCTGAAAAGAAGATAATTTCATTTTAATCTCTTTGCCCAGTAACAACAACAAAATAATCAGAAACACAGTATCTGAGCAGTTAACTGCAGCACAAAAAGTACGCTAACACTGCTTGCAGGTGCCTTTCACAGCACTACTACAAAATCCTCACCCATCCAGCTGCCATGCCCTCATAGTCCACACACTTCACTTTCTTTCCACGGGAAATCAAAAGGGACAAGGAGATAGTGAGCATCTGCATTGTGTCCCAGTGTTTAGGCGGAGTCCAAAGAGATAAAGACCCAGATTATTCACACGTATAAAGTACTTAGGGGCCCAGATTTTAGTTTAAGTGATTTCCCTTTGGATGCAAAGACCACGATGAATCCTAGTCTTTGTTAGCAACTAACTGCTCACCCGTCCCTTCATTCTGGACATCATGTGTAATAGCTTTTCCCTTCTTGTCTGCTCAACTGGTTCCAATTATTTGCTTTTTAAATGTGAGCTCTACAATTCTAAGATCCATACACGTTCCCGCTAAATGAGATTGAGAACCACATTGTGATCTTACAGAAGAAAATATTACCAAGTTGTCTTTGTGACAGAACACTGAGTAGGTATAAAATTGCAATGGTCTCTATGCCAGTTTTTTTTTTTTTTAAGCTCTTTGCTTGTAAGATGAAAGCCTAATTTGATATTTTTGTAGTTATATAACAGTTCTAATATTTTGTGACATTTTGTATTGTGACACTATAGATGAAATTGTCATCGGACTGACACCCTTTACTGTTTATTCCTTAATTACAACTGTTAACAACACTGCAGAGAAGCGTGCTAATCTGCCATCACATATTATGAAAACAACGTTATTGTTACAAACACCAACACCCACTCAACAGGATATTTCTAAGATGGCAGTTTCTGTAAAAACTTATCAGTTTAATGGACACTTCAATAGGAAAAGTTTTAAATGAACTCTTAATATTCCCATTGAAAACATACAACAATTTTATACCGCAGCTTAGGTTTTGAGTTTGTGTCAGTGATTCTTCATGCTACATAGAGATATAAATTTTTTTTAATACTAGGTGTATCTCTATGTAGCATGGAGATGCATAGATCAGTTCACTAGTAGCCTAGCAAAATTTGTAATAATTACATTTTCGTATCCTCAAACACTGGCAGAGGTAAAATTTTCTTCTCCTACTCTCAGGACGGGGGTGGAAGTATGTTGTTGCATATGAGATTAAATTTTAACAATACATTGGCTCAAGTCCAGGTTCTTAATTTAAAAAAAAAATAAAATTTTTTTCTAAGCTTCCTTTGCTTAGGAAGGATTAAATTTCTGCAGGGCAAGTCACACACCTGGAAGGATCTTCCACTGAACTGATATTTCAAAAAGCACTGCACTACAACAGTGAAATTTTCATACTGAGTTAGCCCACTGTACAAACAAAAATCACTGATACTTCACCTCTGTAGGAGGAAGCTGAGGAGCTGTTCAATGGCTGAAAATGAAAACATTATCTCAACTTCTATATATGCTTGGTTCTCAGACAGCCACTGCCAGCTACCTTTCAGTTTGCTGCTTTCAAACTTTTCATGCCTAAGCAAAAGTTCTCACTTGTAGATTATGTTAACAGAAAGAAAATACCATTAAGAGCAGCCTAGAAGTAGCAAAAAACCCTAGAGATTTGTTTACTTTTTCTTGTCTTTACCCACCCATTCAACAGGAAATATAAAGTAGGCAGCAGGAGGTTGGGAAAAGAAGCAGTGGTTACTGGAGTGAGGTGTAAAAGCAGTGAAAGTGGCAATGACAAAACTCAAGGAAAATAAGATGCAGAAATTCAAGGTGTTCCTTCTACAACTGCTCTCATGATGGTTTTCAGACAGATTCCTGGTGCTAAACCAAAGCTACTCTGATACAAACAACCTGCCTTTCCTCTTCACGGTAAATTCCTCCTTTCTCCCTCATCCAGAGAGGCATACAGCACAGATGACTGCAGTGATAATGCATGAATCTGTCTCTACTTATCACACTTATATGTAGATGCAGAGGATTATAAATAACCTAAAACTCTTCTCATACTGAAAAAGCCTTTGTGGGTTTCTATACACCGGTGTTTCTCACTTTTGATCCTAAAAGTCCCTTTGAGGATTGCTTCTCTAATATAGAATAAAGAGTTGTATGCAATGCAACAATGGAAGCAAATTATCCAATATAGTTCATTTACATTGAAATTTAATGGCATGATATTCTGTTGCCTGATCTGGATGATCTTGTCTGCTTAAGCCATAAATTACAAAACAAAGTCAAACTACAGTGTTTATTTTTGTGAATCTTCTTCTGGGTAGTTTATGTTCTGTTTTGTAGTTTTCCTTTTCTTAAAACCAATAGGAACTTCTGCTCTTCCTAAAAGAAACTGCTCCCACTTGGGAAGAGATTCTTTTATTGATGCCCAATAGAGAGTCTGAGAAAGATATAAGAAAAAATCAACTTAATTTCAAAATCTGTGTCAGCCCCTTTAAAAACAATATAGATATGCAATGCATTGTTAAATATTGCCTTATGAGTGAAGCAATTCAGAAAAGAACAACGTACTTACACATGAAATTTCAAATCCCTTGTATGATACAAAATACCAGCCTGGAAAGATTTCATTCTGCAGCATGAACTGTGAAGTGACTGAATGTGCCCTCTTGTGGTAAGCAACAGATTAGTTTAGACCCTCACAGTACCTTTAATAAAATATTTTCCATGATAATAAACTTTTCCAAAAGCAGCTTCTATATTTAAGTATGTACATTAGTGGAATTTCATTTTGAAGTGGAAAAAAAATGTTTAATGTTATAAACAAAAAGTGCTATGTAAATTGGTTACCCTAGAAAAGTTTGCAGTAATGTAGTTCAAAATATTTGAGTAAAATTTTAGACATGATAAATCACTGATGACGTAATTGGCTCCAGTATTTGGATCACAAATAAAAAAAGAAGAAAAAAGCTGTATACTTACCCTGTGGTCTAGGAAGACCACTGTGGATTATCTAACCCTTTCTCTGCATTACCCTGTGCGTCTGAGTAATAAATTTAACTTTTTCTATCTGTGGAATGGACATACCATTCATCATCTTTGTGTTGGTATCCTAAGGATGACTTTGTTGTTTGTAGGAATTTGAAGAAAATGTTAAGTGTCATGTATCCCTTTTTTCCACAAAATAATGTGATCAAAGAGCTGTATTAAGGCAACATTTTAATCCATCTGCCAATGTAAGTATTTTCAGACATTGATGTTCATTCGAAAAAAAGTAATTTTGTAGTAGAAAACATTTATGGTACACATGTATCGAGCCTTTCTTTCTTTACTTGTTTAAGTATATAATGTAGAAGAAGCATACCACAAAACCGAACATCTCCCTGCAGAGTATTAGATTCCTGGCTAATCATTTTGATCCTTACATGTAACTCAGATATAACTATGGCTCTTGCAGATTTACAAAAATATTTTCTTCAACAGATTTACTCAAAGAATCTTTTTTGACAAGCATATGTGCTGTCACACAAAACTACTCCGACTTAGCAAGCTGGGGATCCATTATAGCCATAACTTTCAAAGTATATTAATACAGACACATATATGGCTGAGTGAAATATGCTCAGAAGTGTTTTGGAACAAAGCATGCACAAGAATTTTGTACCATGAAAGAAAGTTTTCTTTTTCACTATTTATAGCACTCTTCTCTAGAATTATAAAAAAGGCTGAAATAGGATCTTCTCCTTCAAATAGTAACTCTCTTCTCTCTAAAATCCAACCACTGCTGCAGAGTGTAGACATCTCTGCAGCCCTAAGCAATTGTTCTCAATTGTCCAATTTGTGTGGACTTTGGTCTGTGTATCGCCAGCAGCTTAACACCTAACACAGGACAGAGGGAGAAGCAGTCCAAAACTGATCCAAACAACTCTAGCGGTGCCTTGAAAGTCCTCGAGGAGTCTAAAACTACTTCTGAACACAGCCAAAATAGGTTCAATATTAGTAGCTTGGCATCTTCCTTAGCATCATTCAAGATGTACAGGCATCTAGGAAAAAATGTACCCTTTTGCCTAAAAATTTCTAAAATAATAATAAAAAAAAAATCACTGAATGGGCATGCTTGGTGTGCACCCTGCAACAGTGATAAGAGTAGGCTATTTACAAAATGCAATGACGGACAAAAACTTTTAACAGTAACCAGAATAAGAAGTGACGCTTCTCATTTAAGTTATAGCCTAAGCATTACAACACTTGCCCAGCAGGTGTGAAACTAATGTACAATACACCTCTCTTCACAGGCTGACAGTGCTAAAATCTATACCTTTCCCCTCCTTTGACAGCACCGTAGCACACCAACTAGTGCGGGACACTCCATGCTACTATGCCTGGGGAAACTAAGCCACCATACAACAAAGAACCCAGAAACCACTGGTGCAAGAAACACAGGTGGGAACCTGACTCGGTGGCCTTGTGGTTAAGATGTTCAGTTTGCAGCAGGGAGAGCTGTGCTCCTATTCCTGTTCCCAGGACTGTTCCTGCCCTCATCATTCATCGCTGCATAATACTGATAAAACACTCTTGAGACTAAGGAACTGAACTTGTTATGTTCTATCAGGATAATATTTAGGTCTCATAGTAACTTGCTGTTCAAAATTTTTAAATAATGTTTTAGGGACTACAGGTGGAAAAGTAAAAATGGAGTGTTCCTGCTGTCGCAGTACTTTTCATAAGATCCCGTACAACCATAGAATAACTCTGAGAAGTGAAAATTTCTCTGTTCATGCTGATAAACTGCTGACCCTGAAACGTAAAGATGGCAATCTGTGGCAAACTGAAAACGGGATGACCATATAAAACAAACTAAATAGCTCTGACATAATAAACACAGTAATCTTCTGATATTCACAATATTCATTTTTATATTTGACTTCATTTTTAAATAGAAGTTTGCATAGATCTGAAAGCTGCTAAATATTTCCACCAGAATGCTCCAGAATCTAGGGACCTTGCCCCAGAATTTAGGTTCAGCTTGCTACACAGTACACAGGCCTTTGGCTATACCAGTCACTGGATTTTAAAATCAATTATTTTCACTTTAAGAACATGCTTCAGGGGGGAAAAAAAGCAAAATATTTGGTAAACAGCAAATGAAAAGACAGAGTTTGAGGACTTACTTCTAACTTAACAGTATCGGGATGTGGAAGTAAATACACTCTTTCTTGCAGCTTTTTTTCTGCTGCTTCTATATCCTAAAACACAGGCAAAGTATATTTTAAAAACAAACACTGGCAATTTTAAAAGGAAAATGCACACTCACATAAAGACATTTCAATTAACTAAATAAACCCATTGCAGCTAAAGAGCATTCAAATAATAACACTGAAGTTCAAGTCTTTCTGTTTAGTCATTCTGAAATCCAACTTGTAAGACTAACATCCTACAGTTTCTAAATATGTTTGCTGTACCTTTTTGATACAAGAATAGATTTCATGACCACATAAGACTGTTGCTGTAAAACACCATTATTCTTCCCAAACACCAGGGTAAATTACAGATAAATTCTGTTCTATAAAACTTAAGAAAATAGAGGGGAACAGAATGGTTTTCTCTGTGCTGCATGAAGACTGAAGTATGGATTCTAGCTACTGTAACTGTAAAGTAACTAGGCAAATTATGTGCAAGATCTTTACTCCTCAAGACAAAGATGACTTGCTAATATGCATGCATAACATGTGCACAAAAATGTAGAGCTGCAGCAAGCTGTTCACCAGACAAACTTGGATGACAATGCACCTCACATAGCTTTCTTACAAAAAAATCAGTATTTGGGTTTCTGCTTGTCCAGTGGATGTGTGCTGGATTCACAAAGGCCTAAATAATTTTTTTAAAAAAGAAACAACCAAAAAACAACAGCAACAAACAAATCAAAACATCCCCCCAAAGTAACTGCCCTCCCCCTTTAAAGTTCTGACCCATTCTTGTGGGCTTAGTTCCATACCCAAACATTGAAGAGATTGAGTGGTGGGCAGATGAAGAGAGACAGAAAGGGACGTGGGAGTGGGGTGTGAAGAAGCCAAAGCTGAACAGAGTGGAGGGGGAAAGAAAGTATAGCAGATGGCAGAGTTGGGAGCAGAGAGCGGGTGTGAAGAGTACAACAGAAAAACTAAATGAGAGAGGAAATTCCCCAAAGGGACTTCCCAAATATTCACCACCACTGCTGCTGAAAAGAAGAGTGAGATTCTGGAGGAGCATATCCACAAGAGAGACCAAACATGATTACTCGTATTGAATAATAGCCAATCTGAATACATCAATAAGTAAACAGTGCTCGACTCAAGTTTCGTTTGAAAAATATGACTCAAATTCAGTAGAGTATGATTAATAAAAGCAAAAAAACAGCCTTACTGTTAGTTGAAGTTCAACTTAGTGATACAGATACACTCAGTTCATTCAATTTACAGTGTTGATCTTATTTTATTCATTAATTCCTTTTACAGCATGACTGTATTCTCTTGTACATAACTACAAACCTAATCCAAGCAGAACTGTTCTCCCTTTTGTACAGCAAAATGCATACCCTTGTAGAAAGCTAAAGGATGTCTGAGAAAGAGCAAACTAAGTCTCAGATTTATCCAAATCCTCAGAAGTAGCACGTGGCTGCCTCTTTTCGGGTGAGAAAAGACTACCATGGGATAAACATAAAGGGGGAATATGAGCAAAGATGGAAGCCACTTGAAGTCACAATGTCAAAATAACAGAGGACAACACAGACTTAAGTAACCTAAGGAAGGAATGTCTCTGTTGCGTGTACTTAGACAGATACACCAAATGCATCTCCTACCAGTATGGCTCAGACCAAGTCTGGAGAAGTTGTCGCCATACTGAAAAGAAGGATCCCTCAGTAATGTTCACTTCGTATTCTTCCACAGGATTCTCCTCCTTTCTGATTCCTTCTTCCTAATTCCTGCGCAAATTTTCACAGGAAGGAAGAGTATCAATCAAGATCATTATTTCTTTATATAACCAGCTAAGTCATTGGAATGTTTATGGTGATAGGAAATGAGTGTCTTTCAGGCAAGAAAGGAGACAGCAGTTGTGCATATATGTTTAGTAGAGAAGGTCACTTTGGCATAGCCTAGATATTGGATGTGTCTTTTTGTTGCTCACCCTAGTTTGTATGTTGTGCAGTCTATTGTCATTCAGAATACCGATTTAATGACAGACAGCGAAAGAAATTTTTGCTGGAAGGTGTAGTATGCTTTAGAAAATAACTGGAACTACCAAAAGATTAGATGGCACTTCTTGTGTGTCTATACAACTGGTAAGCTTTGTATGAAAAAGAAATCCCTGTCATCAATATAAAAATAAATACATCAGCAGTGTAAACTTCTTTGGAAAAAAACAGCAAATCTAGTATGCCACAGTACTGAAAAAAGAGAGCATCTTGCAATGCTTCCCCTAAAACCACAAGGACTGGAACAAAAACAATTCAAGACCCTTCCCCAGAGGTAAAATGGAGTGCATGACACATGCATCACTTTTAGGTGACCAAATTCAGCTGTCACTTATATTGATATCAGTCTGGCAGAATCCCACTTAAATAATTCTAGAATTACATGCCTGTGAAGGAAAGGAAATTTAGTCTAAATTACCTTCCCAACACTAATTACTATACAGCATATTCTTTTATTTCCTATTTCATGTTATAAGCTGTTGCACAGTAATATAAATTTCTAAAACCAAGAAATATTACTGACAAATGTCATAAATTAGATTATAAATGCTAGTCTGGTTTCTGCTTTTATTATGACAATGTTACATAAGTACCAAATGATATAGATGTCCTTAATCTGCAGTCTCCCTCTAAAGACATCAAGGAAAATACTCTGATAATTATGCTAAAATGCTGAACAAGTGTTTATAATGTTAAAATTTCAATTTAAAAAAATGTTTATTTCTTTGCTTCCTACTGATTAGAAAACAAATTAATTTTGAAATGCTTTTCTGTGCATAAATATCAACTAGCACAGAGAAAGAAAAATGTCTTTTGCTATGATCACATACTGAAAACAACTGATTTTGCTTACATGCAGAAAACCAGAAATGCAAATAAAAAAATAACACTTCATCATGTCCATGTATTTTTGAGTAGGCCAAATCAACAACTCTCCACATGGTAACTGTGAAATGTACAGTGCCTGGTATCAGGAACAATATTCTGAAGCTGGCACATTAATCAGTCTTGTTTTCAAGCTTCTCATATATTATTCTGCATAGATTTTTTTTTTCCTGTTTTCTTCTGTTATCAGAAAGCATCTGCAGGAGTGCATGCCTGTTAAAACTAGTATAAAATTAATAGATTTAAACTGATTTATGCTACTTTATCCTGCAACAGAATTTGTTTTGATACATATGTTTTTGCTTTTTTTCCATACAAACACCAACATTTTTGACACTTGAAAGGAACAATTTTGAGGATGTGACAGAAGATGGCAAATATCTGTTTAACTGCAAAAATATTTACACTCTGTATATGTCTGAGCTATTGTTAACATTTCCAATACAAGAAGCTTTCAGCATGCAGAAATATATTCTGCATTTATTATGTTTGCCTATATATATAAAATGAGACTGCATTTATAAAATACAAATAATTTATAAAAAAATATATTTATGAAATAAAAATCTATTATAAAATGTATATCAAAAATGGGAGTCATAATGGCTGAAATTACTAAATCAATGGAGTATGAACTATGGAAAAAATAAACAAACAATCCACTTCTCTCCAGCCTCCCACTGAAGCATGTGAACTTATCTATACCCCATACAGAGGGATTTGATTGCCCCAGCCCAGAATACACCAGTTTACCAGAGTCCAAGTTGAAAAATCTTCCTTGTCACAGAACAGTTAAGAAGGCATCCCTGATTAACTGTTCTGCCTTGTCTGCCAGTCCCTAAATACAACTTCCATTTAAATACAAAGAGGGCCTGCAACAGAATTTTACCCACCTGAAATGTGAACATTTTAAATCTTAACCAGGCTCTGCATGAAGAAACAAAAAATTTTTGGTGACGCTAATTAATCTTGTAATTTTCTAGAGTAAAACTTACTGTTTCAATAAACACAATACAGGCAACATGGACCCTTAATAAGTAAGAGTTTAAAGAAAATGCACAAGAGGTACAGTTTTCTGCTGTTTCCTGAATGACAGACAAACATTTTTCAAATGCATGCTCATGTCAGTGGTCAAGTGCAATCTCTTCAAACTCAGATGCCTAAGCTACGGGTTCCAGAAGAGGTTTTAGCATTCCAGTCCCTGCCATCAAACCTAGACCTTTTTAGTTGCCCATTCTCAAACGTCTGCTGAATTTACCTAGGAAACACAAATCTTACCTAAATATGACAACAGCTATGTAGAACAGGTATTAACATTATTAACAGTACCACCACTAGGAAGAGCCAGAAACACCAAACACTGCTTTTATAGACTTGCAAGTAAGATTCCTGAAGTCATTCTACACCTCTTTAAAGAAAAACATTAAAGTGAGAACTTTTTCCACAACTTCACACAACCACAGCGGGAGAATAGTTCCTACCCTGGGCTAAAAGCATTAAAGGCTGGTCAGCCCCTATTTCCAAACATACCTCCGTATCTTGAATCAAAGTGTAGAGGTGCTGTGAGTCTTGTCAGACTCTTAAGTTCTCTTAGGCAGACATGTAATACCATGTGTTGCATCTCTACATGTACTTCAAAAAAAAAAAAAAGATAGTAGCAGCTGCCACCATGAGGCTCATATAAGAAGGGCATGGGAAACAGGTAGTGATGCCATCAGATAATAAAGACTTGTCATTTAATACTTTTGGTCAAGTTCCAGAAGAGGGAACTGTATATAGGAGAATTCAAATGATAACTATAGAGCAAACACTTTTTTTTAATTCTCTAAGCTACATAACCATGACATTTCAATGCGGTTCCTGGTAGTTGCAGAAACTTACATTTAAAAGTGCTGCATTCCTTTTATGAGCTGCATCAGCTGCTTGAGTTTGCCATGTCTTTTTAGTCTTTTTGTCTCCTAGATAAGTCTCCATCTGCTGTAGCAGCTCTGATCTCTGAGACAGTCTACAAAGGAAAACATTTTGCTAAGTGGGTAGAACATTTTGCTCAGGAGCTAGAAAATAACCTTTTTACCTTACCCAGTTTTCTCAAAACTATGGGGCTAATTAAGCCGGCTGTAGGGTGGGTGTGCTGGGGGAGGGAAAAGGTACAGGCAGACACCACCTGCTGTGCTTGTATGAAGCTGTAACATTGCAACCAGCAGTCCTCATAAGCTAAAGTGCTTGGAAGCACTGCATCTCCCAGAACAGGAAAGACAGGGTGGGTTGGGGTGACTTGATCAGTGCTACTCTTGCTCATTGGCAAGTACTAGTTGTTACAAGAAAAGCACATTTTTCTGAATCATTACTGTATTTGCTTCACAATCTGAGTTTACAGGGGAACAAAGAAGTAGTTCTATAATTGAGGCGTAGAGTGAGCGAATCCAATTACCTTCCCCAAACAGGAATTTAACGGTGACAATGGTTAACAATGGAGATCTTAAACCAGGACCACCATTGGAAGTGAAAAACCTCATCAACCTAAATACCCTTAGCGGCAAGCGAATTCCAATAGTTCATGAAGGAAGAGTGCCACCTCCTGGAACACCAACCCCTTGCTCAAATACCACTTGCGCTCTGTACAGAGCTCAGATTCACTGTTCACAGGATGGTCATGTGCAGTGAGGGAGGTCTCGCAAGACCACAACACAAACTGCTGTGAGGCAGGCCACAGCACCGAAACAATTACTTACATCTCTTCATGTCTTCTAGCAAGGTGAACTTCCTGAGCCAAATAGGATGACATTTTCAGTTGTTTGCCCCAGTTTCATCACTCTACAAAAGGAAAACCAAGTGAAATTAAAGTCTTCCAAAGACATACATGAACATACACTTTTCAGTATTAAACAATTCCATGTTAAAAAGTTGCACACATGGTATTTATATACCAGCTATCTATGCAAAACCTGCCGCAAGACATTGTTACATTGTGCTTTGAACACATGCACACTACTAATGTTCACAGTATGTTTTGGGAAAATCTTACTACATTCTAATCATTCACGAGAACTAGAATTTGACTTTCAAGTTTCAGATTTAGCATTAAGTTTTCTCAAGTTTCAGCTGAGAACTGAACACGCAAACTACATGCTTGCATAATTTGTGTATTACTGTTCACATTAGTGATTTCCGGCTTTTGTCATGTTACTCTGAACACAAAGTTGTACTTGTAAACATCATTTATAACTACCTCTCACAGACACAGTGCCCTGTTCACAGCAATCTATGTTTAAGTACAGGCATGATTAAACTAAGTAACTTAAGCTACTAAACCAGTTTAATTTTTGAGTGCTTGAAAAATTAAGTGAAAATTTCTTGAGCTCAGCTCTCCAGTACTGTAACACAGTACATGATGGAATACACAGCTTAAATTGTTTACTTCTTACCACTTTTTTTTTTTTTTTTTTGAGATATGAAGGAAATCAACTGCCCACTGCATGCAAATCAAGATCTTACAGCACTTTTCAGAGGGCTGGAAGTGTTTTACAGTCTAATATTTTTTCCCCTCAGAGGTGACTGCACTGTTGTCACATTAAGTAAAATTAAACAAAAGAACCTACTACATGTTCACAGTGTTGCAAGGTGGGAGAACAAAAAGATCTCATCAACCTGAGAAGATCAGGATAGGCCTGCTGTCTCTCAAGAGATTCACACATAACTTTGAAGCAAGTTATTTACGTGTGCACTCTTAACTTCAGCAGAGCCCATTTTCTAGGGACGCATGTTTCCCCACGCTCTGAAAAACACTTCCACGCAACTGGGCTACTGCTAACGCTTCCCCTTCGTTTAATAAGGAGCACGTCCCCTCTGCGCTCTTCCCCTCGGCCACAGAACTTCATGCTCTCTGCGACACCTCTGCTCACCCGGCAACGGGAGAAACTGAGGCCCGGGGAGCGCAGCCGCCCGCACCTCTTTTCTTTAGGGGAGCCTAGCTGACAAACAGCGGCAATAAAGCAGCACTCAGTGCGAGCACCCTCCGCCCGCAGCACCGCGGGGCAAGCGCCCCACACGCGGCCTCCCTGGGCGGCTGCCAAGGCGTGAGGCGAGCCGGGCCGGGCCGGGCCGCTGCAGGCAGGGCCCCCCCGGGAGACGCAACGCTCACCCCCGTCTCGTCAGAAGCCCGAGGGGCGGCAGGAGGCAGCGGGGGGGAGCGCTGCCCCGTCAGGCCGGCACCCCTCGAAAAGGCGGGAGCGAACCGGCCGCCGCCGGCGGCGCGCGCGAAGGGGCACCCAGGAGCCGCCCTTAGCCCTACCATTGGGAGGGGGGGGGGGGGGGATCCACGAGCCCGCCGGAATGTACCATTCTGTAGGAATGAGGGAGGAGAAGGCAGGAAACAAAGTAAATAAGTACGGAGACCTAGTTTACCTTTAGCCTCGCCGGCTTCGAAAAGGAAAGCAACCACCCACCATGGTCTCCGCGACGCCTTTACCTCCCCCCCCCCGCTGCCATGGAGACGGCCGGAAAGGTGGAGCCTAGCCGCAGGCGCTGATTGGCCCCGTCGCGCCTCGGTAGGCGGAATCAGGCGAGGTCGAGATCCGCCTTTGACACCTCGATTGGAGGAGCCAGAGACCAATCATTGCTGGCGGGCGGGCCGCGGCGGGAGGGCGGTCTCGTGCAGTGACCGTTACGCCTGAGGGGCGGTGGCGGGCAATGGCGGGGGGTCGGGCAGCGCTTCAGGCACTGTCCGCGGTGAAACCCATCGCCTGAGCCACCCCCTTCCCCTACGCACAGGCACGGCAGACTTGGCAATAGTTTGGACAAACTTTTTAGGCTTTGCAGCCCAAATGACACCGAGGAAGAATGAACCCGCTCCCAGTGAGGTTGAGGTGTTGCTGAGGGTTAGCATTGCCTGTTATCGTTCCTTCCAGAGACCGCTCGCCCCCATGCCTTCGTGTTCTCTAGTGAGGTGGACTTACATTTGAAGCCAGTCGTTACTTTCCTGCACAAAGCACAGTATTCCGTTTTGGCACGGGAAGTGCGCTGTGAATGCCAGCCAGGTTCTTTCTCCGCATGCGTTTACCAAACCCTGCGGTGTGATCTTGCCCTCTGTAAAATAGAGAGCTGAACTTCTTCCAGGCCTCAAAGCTGAGGAGTTACTGAGGCTGACTCTTGCCCTTTATAGTCAAACTTTCATCAAAATGTCCTTTTAAAAATGCACAATCCACTTTTTTTGTGAATGTTTTGTCCTTCGCAGAAAACATAAACCAAACAATTCTAAGCCAAATACAGCTGAAAGTTCATATTTCTTATTTTTTTTTCATTGTTGCCTGATAGATTTATGCACATTTACAGCTGCAGGTGATTTCTAAAAACTGCTCTGAAAGAGCTTGTCTTCCCTGTTTTCTTTCTAAACATTCTCTGATCCTAGTGTTGAAGATGTCTCATCATGAGCCTTTCTTACTGCTGATCAGAAGTTTCTTCTTGTGATTCTTCAGCTGTTTTCTAATTTTTTTCCATTCTCTGATTTTATATTTCTGCAACAAACTCATATTAATTCTTTTCATGACATATAATTAAAGTGCTTTAATAGACTTGTCAACTTACCCCCACTTATTGCAGCAGTCAGGATAAATAGTACTTAAAATCTTATTTTTAATTTTTTTTACCATTTTGATTTAAAGACAAGACTTTCCAATAAATGATACAGAGAAATAGGAGTCTGTCCTCATTTCTAATGGTGTGAAAAGCTAATGGTTACGGTCTCACTAAATTTAACAGAAAGCCTAAGTGTTTTGCATATTCTACTTTGAGCTACACCAGTTCTCTGTAATGGCGGTGATCTTTCTTTCTCGTAGCATTTAATGAATTTCAGAAAGAATAGAGACAAATTGAAGTTTGGTTTACATAAACCATTATATATGCCATTTGCAGAGAGAATGCAAAGAGCATTTTAGTTAAGCTACAGATACTATCCATTGTTCAGTGTTGCGGAAACAGAGACAGGATGGAAACCATAATTTCTTAATGACTGCTTTATGTGACAGTGGATGAAACACTCTGTAAGTTCATAGCTAATGAGCTATAAACTCTGCATTTAGTTTTCCAGTATTAATGTTCTTTTTTCATTAGAAGAGCAACCTAACCTAGATCAGTTCCAAATTTGTCAAGAATATAAGCTTTAAACTTTTTAAAAAAAAAAAAAAAAAAAAGACTGCTAGTAACAGCCAGAAATCCCCAATAACAGCATGTTTTGAATAGGTGGTTCCTTGTATCCGCGAAGTGCCCACCATGAAGTCAGTGAGGGTTATTGCAGAAACAGGGTTTTATAGATAGGAGTCACTTACATGGGGAGAGGCATTCTCTTGCATATCTTAATGCACTGGCACCTAATTGTAGTGTGCTCTATTGTTATATGAATGTCGTTGTGTGGTCTCCCCGCCCTGGTTTCCTGGTTATACTGTGCATCTTTCTTACAGAAAAACCCCAAACATTTAATAGTTTTTATAAAAAGCCTTTTTTCCCCCAGATACTGTGTCTTCATTAGATACTTTTATCTTTATGTGAATTTACTGTTCGGTCACTGGTATAAAAATTTAAAAAAACAGATACCTGCAAGTGAGACCCTGAGATCTGTATTTACTGCCCAGTTGTGCTAAGATGAGTGAGTATACACTTCAACACCAGAGCAGTCTCTCTGTTGCTTGGTCACAGTCTGCAGTAGAAGTGTTATGCATGAGATTGTGTACTCAATGAGTGCCTAAATATGGATTAAGGACTTACTGTGAGCACTGAAACGTGGGCATTGTGACCCTAGGTTTTTCTTAACCCTGCAATTTGGTTTTACTCTGAAAATTTAGAAGAGGGGTTCCTGAGCAAAACTGGTGCATTGTAACACTAGGTGGCACTTAAACACAGCTAACAAAGGCTTCCATATCTTGCAACACACCAAAACAGTCAAACACATTCTGTTCTAACATGCAGTTAATTATATCCTCAAAATGATGTCTTGGATTGATATTACTAAACAAACATGTATAGAATGTAATTACAGACAAGTGAAATAAATACTGTAGGCTTATAATTGCAAGATATGTTTTTTGCTTGTAATATGCTACACACCTGTGCGTAGTTTATGTAGCTAGTATTTTATTTTGTCATTTTTACTAACATTTAGAATGGCACGATTTAGCTTTATGTGCTTTTATTTACTGGTACCAATTTTTGCCATATGTCAGTTTTTAAAAATGGAATGGTTTTATGTATTGGGATTTTAAAACCAGAGTATTTCAAAGGGAAAACAAAAAGAAAAGAATTTTTTTTATACGAAACCACTTCAAAACTTTTTTAAAAAACTGCATATATTTTAGTTTTTTTCTAATTGCTTTTCTTTCCTCTTCTTTCTTTACTTACCTTTTGGAGGTCCACCTCTACTGCTATAGTAGCTTAATACCCACCTGGAGGTCCAAAGTCTATCTGTTCATAAAAACATTTCTTAAGTGATACCATTGGTAAAACATACCAGGCCTATGGGACAGTCTAAGAGACATGAAATCCCATCAGAGCAGCTTGTGGCCATCACCTCGGCTTCTGGCAGTTTTTCCTATCAGCTGCAGAAGCGGTCAGCAATATTTCAGTCAACTGCACAAGCCCTGTGCAAAGCTGCTTTAAGTTACAGGCAAGCTAAAAAGGCAAAGGCGTGCAGGGAAATGTCCTCCCAGCACAGGAGCAAGCTAATAAAGCATCAAACCTAGAAAGTGCAAAAATGGACTTCTAGTTCCTCTTTACCCTCACATTCCAATATGCAGGGAGTTGCTCTCGACCTTACTGTTGGCAGGCCCCATACCATTCTCTGTTCAGGGTTACAAATAGTTGGCTTCTCTGTGGTAGTAAGATTAGAGCCAAGATGAAGCTCCTAAATGGTAGGACAACCCAACAACACATTCCTGTATTCGCATTTTGTTATTTGGCAGCTAAAGGTGTGTATTCAGTGCGGGAAAGACTGGTACACCTGTGGAAGTCACGCTTTGTTGAAAGAAAATTGCCAATGCGTTACTGTATGCTTAGACAAACTAATGTGAACAGTCTGTGCGTGCTTGTTGGAATTGCCCCCAGACATCAGGAGACCTGTTTCAGGTGAACCAGAACCCAAACAACAGACCAGGATAGGTTGAGCACCCATCAGCCGGGGCAAAAATAGTTGTCCAAACTAGAGACAGTTGGGTCAAGCTCAGAACCAGAGTTGGAAGACCTGTGGGAAGAGGAAGAACTGACAGCTGTGAGGGTGAGGGCACAGAGGCGGTGGAACTCCAACCGGTTTGTGTGCCTGTGAAAGTACGGTATAAAACCGTGGATCAGGCCAGGCCAAACTCTGTCCAACATCAAAGGAAAAAAATAATGGTTGTGGTAGAAGGACATAAGGAAGAGAATATTTTCTTTATGCTTCAAGTAGAGATAAAAACCTGATAAATAGGACAAAGCTAAGAAAATCAGTATTCAGCTGCCAATTATTTGATTATTTTTTTCTTTTCTTTTTTGAGAAAGATCCTTTCAGGTTCTGGAACAGTCTTTTTCCAGGTAGTAGTAGATATAGCTGTGAAATATAAACTAGCCTAGACAATACTTGAGACTGTTTACTGATACGCCCATTCAGTATCATCAAGGGGATACATGCCCTAACAGGTGCTTTCCATCAGTAGTTTCTATGGCATAGCTACTTCTTTTTGAAGATTTCAAGAAAACAGTTTGGCCCTTGAGTAGTAACATTAAGCCTTCTTTTTTTAAAAAAAAAATATCTACAGGCCTCAACTGACTTTAACAGAAGTACAGGTAGTAGAATGTTTTACAAGTAATTATAAAAACTATTTACGGTAATTAGCTTGAATCTAATTGCTTCTCAGCATGTTAGGATAGTAAATTACAGCTTTATTTCAAACAACTCCTGTTGTCTGTTTTCCCTAAACTGAACACAGGAAACCCAATAAAAACAAACGCTTGGAGAACCACCATTCTCAGTTCCTGTTTGAAGTATGTCAAACGGGGATGCTTAGCTTTGATCATAGAAGCAGCACTTCACTTACCCAGGTAGACTACATCTTTCTTCCTTTACACACTGAGAACGTACTCCTCCTGAGAGCAACAAGAAGATGCACGTGAACAAGAGGGACAGAAATACACCTTTTGACTCTTAAGTGAGATAGTCACATCAAATGATTTATACATGAGAAGGCTGATTCTCCTCGGCTCCCTCCCTAATCACTGCAGAGAGATAAGCTCTCCTTGACAGTGATGTAGGGCATGAGGCTTAGCATTTGGAGTTGCTCTGAAGGACCAGAGGTATCTTTCTCTACGGGTTATATAGAGAGCTTTGAGAAACTGGCTTCCTCAGATTAGTACCTATAATTATGCACCTGATCACTGTCTGATCATCCACTTCAAAACCAACCACAGCTTATGTCTATCACACCCTAGTGGAGGTTCACTGGAGTTCCTCAAGACTGATCTTGCCTGCTATG